AACCCTTTAATTACAATGTAACAATAAACAAACTCAAACATTCCAGTATACAAAGTACGAAAAATATGATTGCATGTGAAATCATGAACATGTTGCATACATAGTTTATTTTTTTTAAAGTATGTTAAATAAGATAAGATAATAACTGTGGTGAGAGGAAGGGAATGGTAGGTGGATGGTCAGATTGCTCTACTGATAACCTAGCTATGTCAAAAGAAAGCAAATAATAGTATTAGGCAAACCCCTGTGGAGAAGTTTTTTGGGGGGATTGTATGGAAGTTGCATAGGACTGGCAGGCTTGCATTGGCTGTGTTAGAAGGAACACTGGAATCAATAAAATGGAAGATCCATTTGAATAAGTAAGATAGTAACAAAGTTAGCTTACTTGTGCCCTCTTTTGAACATTTTTTTTTATTTTAACGATATTCTTTGCTTCCTGTTTATCTTTATCATTACCCACTAACTCATTCTGCCCTCACCTAGTAAATTGATAGAACTAATAATAATGCACTAACTCAGTGCCCAACTCATCAATAGCGAAGGATTTGGGTAAAGGTCAAAATTTGTCTCTAGTTCATATTTATAATAATGGTTAATATTTATAAAATAATATTTGAAAATTTTAAATCGTCAGCATTGCCGTGATTGTGGGAAGGAAAATGGGAGAATGCTTTGAGTATAAGATAAGAGCTTGCAAAATGAAAAAAAACTTCTATGAATTTTAGAACCAACATGAATCTGTGGTGCCTTTGGAAGTTTAGGAATACAAGACTGTATGTAGCCTATGGAGCTAACCATTCACCATTCAGATCTCTACAGGGATTCTGGTTTAACTGAGAAACAAGAGCTTTCAGGGTCCTCTACATTGTCAGATATGACTTCTTGTCACAGTACCACCACACAAACGGCCAGGATTAGCTCTTTCATACAGGCTGAAATTTAGAATGGGTAAAACGTTGCAAGGTGATAAAGAAGTGTAGAATATTTCCCTTGGGCATAGGTGTCTGTAAATTCAACCAGGGAGAACATTGTTGATAGAATTTTTTTTAAGTTCTAAATTTTAATGTTTAAGCAAATATGATATTATTCAAAGAAAAGAAAGTAAGTGAAACCAGAGCCTGGGCTCTGTGAGGGCAGGGACTGGTCAGTTTTTGTTATTATATTTCTGTTTCTTAGAGCAGTGCTAGCCACAGAGTTGAGGCTTAATACATGTCTGCTAAATGAATGGATTGCCTTCAATTTATATAGAGCATACTGTTTTATGAAGCACTTGGTCTCATTCAATCCTCACATCCCAGTGAGGTAGGCAGAGCAGGCATTATCCCCATTTTCTGGATGAGGATGTCATGACCAGCTAAAGTCACAAGTTGGGGGCCAGGACTGGAATCCAGGTCTCCTCATTTCATCCTGGTTCTCTTTCTTTCTTTCTTTCTTTCTTTCTTTCTTTCTTTCTTTCTTTCTTTCTTTCTTTCTTTCTTTCTTTCTTTCTTTCTTTCTTCCTTTCTTTCGGCAATTGGGGTTATGTGACTTGCCCAGGATCACACAGCTAGTAAGTTTCAACTGTTTGATCTGAGGCCAGATTTGAACTCAGGTCCTTCTGACTTCAGGGCCAGTGCTCTATCCACTGTGCCAGCTAAGCTGCCCCATTCTGGTTCTTTTTCTACTGCATCAAAGGAAAAGGCTACAGCAATTTTTCAGTCGATTCTGTACCAGCTTCTTTGAAGTGAGATATAAAATATGTATATTCTAGATGCATGGAATACATACATCCATACATGATGCCTATGTATCTATATACATAAAATAGAAAGACAGAGCTATATAGTCAAATATATATCTGTACAGATATAGATATATCAATATTGATACAGATATATGTTTATATAGATCTGTCTTTTTATTTGTTTGCCTATGTCCTGCATTGTGGTAGTAGATATACTGTACATTGTTGAAAGCAGAGCCTGCAGAACACCTGCATTTCTCAGTCACCTTGTAGTATAAATGAACTCTGGACTCTTTTGCAGGGTAGGGCTTCCATTCAGCCAAATTATCTGACACAAGGTATATTTTCTTCAAGGGTCAATTCTGGCCAAACAAGCAGGCCTTCCACAGCTGGCTGACCATGAAACCCCATCTGCTTAATCTCCACCCCCCCCCCGCCTTCACTCTTCTCTTTCCCCTCCATGGTTCTAAAGTTGTTTAAACTTGTCTTTTTGCTCTCCACACTGGGTCTTCTGCATGAACACCCAAAGCTAACAGAATGAATGCCTGCTGTGGATAATAACACACGGTCAACAACAGTATTTCAAATAAAGTACCAGGATGCAAAATGGAAGGCCTTTTCTTCTGGCCCCAGGGCCACTCTACAGCAGATCTGGCCATAGCAAGGTTTGTTCAATTGTGTTTTGTGTTGCAGAACAGGTGACATTTATTTTACACAATTTTTTGCTGGTTGGGTGGGTATGCTTCCCCTTCTCCTCACCACCTCCTCCCCCAAGCACATACACACACCTGGCATGCTTTTTATTTGCACAGCCCCCATAGGGTCATGCAATTTTTCTTCTGCGACTTGCAATCCGGGTGAAGGCTTCTTTTGCTGAGACATTTGGTAAAATGCTATCCTGCTAAACAAAGCCATCAGTATAGTATCTTGGATATCAAAACATTTTGCTCTCCTCTCATCCTCCAAGGTTTAAACTGGGAATTCTAGCAGCAGGGGCAAGTTCACTGACCCTGATCTCGGTTGCCTTGCTGATCCTGGACAACCCACAGATCTTAGGTCCTTAGGTTTGGCAAGGTGACAAAGGGTGATTCACCTCGGTCAGTCCCAATGCAGTTATGGCAGAAGGATAGAGAGAGAGATGCTGTAGGTAGAAGGTTGTGCCCCTATAACTAAGTAAGGAAGGGAGGTTGGTCTTAGCTTAGAATGAGCAGCATCACCTTTGATATTGGTTCCCTGGGCCAGAGACCCAGTTGTCCTGGCCTAATTGTGACTCTGTTTCCACAAACTCTTTCCTCAACCCCCATAGGTATTTTCATGTTCTATTGGTATAAGGTCAAGAGCAACAGAACATTCTCCTGCACTGATAATCCCAACCATATGTCACGCAAAATGGATTGACATTGGCACATCTCAATTTATTAGCACCCTTATGTGATAGCTAATGCTTATAAAAATTCAAAAACTTCAGATAAAGGGTAGGCTGTAGAGCAGAAGAAAGGCTGCAGTCTAGCCATAAAACAGACCATTAACAGCCTCAGAACTTCTAAAACAATCATGTCATTTTACAGATGAGGAAACTCTTTTGGCGGATAGGGTCCCCATTCAGACAAATGACTTAACACAAGGTATACTCTCTGGGAGAGTCAATTCTGGACAAACAAGCAGGATGTCCATAGTTGCCTCATCATGAGTGTGCATCTTGTGACTTCTCCAGAGTTATATAGTAAGTCAGTGTTATGTCTGGGACTAGAATCCAGGTTTTTCTGACTACCAGTTCAATGTCCCCTGCCTCCCAGTATTATAGTTCTCTGATCCCAACTTCAGCCCATTCCCTTCCCTCTCTTTCCTGCTGTGGAAAAATCTTTGGGTTAGGGGAAAGTCTGTGAGTTTACTCACTAAGAGTTCTATATACAAATGAAATCACAGGTCTACTTCCTCCCCTTCGCCATTTCCCCCTTCTCTTTTTACGCCCTTTAGCTTGTGATACCATTTTAGCAGAGCTGGGTCTTGTACCTGGTATATTCCTAACTCTCTAGAGCTTTGCAAGCAGAGAGTGGACCAATTCCTTTGCTTCACTTACCTATAGACTATCACCCTTTTTTTTTCCACTTTTCATTGCCCGCCCTAACCACATTAACTTTCAGTGAGGTTGGCTTCGTTCATCTCTACATTATTATTTAGCTAAATGTTACAAGTTGGCAACTCTCAGAAAGAGAAAGACTTAGGTGTAGAGAGACATATGTCAGGAAACTTAAACCACAGCAAGGGGCCCAGTAGCACACAAAAGGTCTGATTTTACCATTGGGCATATGAGGCTGAGAATTGTCAGGTCTAGTGACAATTGGCTGCTCGAAGGGCAACTTTGTTAATGCTGCTCCGATGCAGTTAGAATGATGTGCCTGACACCACACTGTATACTTGGAGATTCTACTTAGCACGTAGTTTTGTCTTGTTTTCTCAAAGAGGATGTATCACACACAAAACAAGAAACTTTCAAACCACGTCCTTCCATGGCCGCAGAAATTAACCACAGCAAAGATAATCTGGTCTTGTGGATCATCTTGTCAACTGCTGGTGAACACTCGACATTGATGGCTCGTGGCTTGGAACACAGGACTGCTTGTGTGGTGGTTTGGTCTTTAGGGATGAATGGGCCTCACTCAGAAAAATGCCAACTCATCCATATCCCCTGTGCCACAGTGGCTTAGTTAGTCTTTTTTTACCAGGAAACATTCCCAAATGACAAATGTCAAGGAAAAAACTGGCCACGTGAGCATATAAAGTCATGATCATAGCTTTAGAGCTAGAAGGATCTCAGAGGTCATGTAGTCCAATGCCCTCATGCCTAGCACAGGGCCAGGAGGGGAGGATATATCTGATGTGTCAAGGTCTATGAGTACAGTCCTGCTGAAGGAGAATTTGTAGTTGAGACAGAGGTAGCTGAGTCTGTGTGAAAGGCTGTGGGGAAGGAAGAAATCTTCCCTCCCTCTCCAGGTTCAGAAGTATTTAATTTCTGACTTTTACCCAGAGAACCAGCCTGATTATTTCTCACTGTTTTGCTTTGCTTTTCCTCTTTTTTCTTTTCAGAAATCCATCCCTTTGAAGCCCACAGGGTATTCTGTGCCTGATGTAACAGGAAGCATTCCCACGTTAGCTCAAGTTTTAGCCACCTCTCCAAGAAAGGAGCTCTACTCCCTCCAGCAACAAGAGAGGAAACCTCAAGCTTTTTTCAAACCTGAAAAAGATGGGCTTTTTACCTAAATTCCTTCACACTCACCTCTCACGGGCATCAACTTTGCCTTCTGGCTCACATACCACCATTAAAACAAGCTCTCCTGCCTTTCCAAACAGGCCCGGCTGCCTCCAGCAGACCCTTCCCCCTGTCCACTTGACATCGACCGGCCTGACAGTGTCCTGGCAGAGAATAAACTTTCCCTTCTGGCCTCTGAGCTATCACTGAAGAGTGAATTTTTACCTAGGAACCTCCTTAATTTCTGATGAAACTCTTTGGAGGCAAAATAGTAAATGAAAGGATCCAAGCAGTTGTTGAGGCAGCTGAGACAGAGGGTAAGCTTATAGATGTGGTAGTAGCTCTTGTTGAAATATAGGCGACTGACCATGTGCACTAGGAGTATGAAGTTGTTAGGAGCAAAACAAGTGACAAAGGCAAGGAGGACAATGCCGGCGAGACAGATGGACCGAGTTTTCTGCCCATTCCCATACCTTCCGGAAGTCCGGATCAACTCAAGGATGGTGGCGGTGTAGCAGGCCACAGTCACAATGAAGGGAATAAGGAAGAGAAAAATAAACAAGGTGAAGAGGAAGATGGCCCACATTGCAAGGCTGGGCAGCATGTTCCACTTGAGGACGTCAAAGCAGGTGATGATTCCCAGGGCTTTTACTTCATAGGTCAGGTCTGTGATAGCCAAGGGGGAAAGGGCAAGTAATAAAAGGAGCCATATGCCTACACAAGCCAGAACTGCATATCTCTTCCTTCTCCACCTGGTAGAGGTCAAGGGGTATACAACCCCCAGGAACCGCTCTACACTGATGCAGGTCATGGTCAGTATGGAAGAGTACATGTTGGTGTAGAAGACGACTGTCACCAGGTTACAGAGGAACTTCCCAAAGAGCCAGTCATTGTTGTTTAGGTGATAGAAGATCTGAAAAGGGAGCGCCACAGCCAACATGAGGTCGGTGATGCAAAGGTTGATCATGAAAATGACAGAAGGTGATTTGGGTTTGGTTTGACATAGCACCCAGAGGGAAAAGAGATTCCCAGGGATGCTGATGAGGGCCACCAGTGAGTACACAATAGGGAGGGCCACAGCGATGGTTGGGTTCTCAAGCATCAGCAATGTTTCATTATCGGGCTGGGATATGTTGCTAATCATAATTCACAAGACTGTTGACCTTTCAACACCAGAGGGATCATATCCTGAATATTCAGTTGAAAGTCTGAAAGGAAAAAAACCAAACAAACCAAATAATCAGGAACACATTGAAAGAATGCATAGTGAATTTGATCCTGATTTATTTTAATTTTAAAATAGCATTTATGCAGCACTTTACCATTTGTAGAGAACTTTGTATTATCTCACTCTATCCTCACAACAACCCTAGGAAGTAGGTGTTATTATTATCCTCATTTTACACATGAAGAAACTGAGGTAGACAGAAGGTAGATTTGAATTCAGGTCTTTCTAACTCCAGTTCTAGATCTTTATCCATTGTTTTCATAGCTATTAATTCAAGATTATCTTTGTTAATGTCTTTATGTGTAAAAAATAAAATATATATGATTACAAAGGAAAACAATTATGTTGTAATTAAAAAAAAAGTTTGTGGACTCCTGGATAGGTTAAGTACCTTTGCTCTAAAATGACATAGAATAAGTGCATTGACAAAAGGAGTTTCTTATGCTAATGATATAATATCTTTTATTTTGTGGGGAGAAAAAAGTAATCAACACCATTACTAGGCCTGTGACTGACTTAAACCTTTACAAAAGTAGTATGAAGTAATAGTAGTGCTACTAGTACTGCTACAGATGACTAGGAGTAGTGAAGTAGTGTATGAAGTACTTCCTTACTTTCCTGTATCTCCTTCCCATTTATAAATAATCCTTGTTACCCAATCCACAAGTTCCTAGACTTCCCCACTGCTGTCCTTCATGAAGACTGCTCTCCTCAATAGTATCCCATGCATTGGATATAAATCCTGTTCCTAAGGAGCTTGCAATCTGTTTAGAGAGAACAATGCACATGAAAAGCTTAACTAGCAATATTAGACAATATTCAGAAATAGATATTTGAGTTAGTATTTGAAGCAGGATTTAGTTAAAGAGAGAGCACACTCCACATAGGAAGAAGAAGAATCTGCTGGGATTTTAAAAATAGTATTTGCCCCCCAGTTATATGTCAAGACAATTTGTGGCCTTTTTTTTTTTTTTGGTGAGGCAATCGGGGTTAAGTGATTTGCCCAGAGTCACACAGCTAGTGAGTGTTATGTGTCTGAGGCCGGATTTGAACTCAGGTCCTCCTGACTCCAGGGCCGATGCTCTATCCACTGCATCACCTAGCTGCCCCCAAAAGCTTTTTAATTTAATACAATCAAAATTATCTATTTTACATTTCATAATGCTCTCTATCTCTTGTTTGGTCACGAACCTGTAACTCACTGATTGAAGACAGAAAAAGGGGAGGCATGACATGGCTACAATGAATAGGCCCATCTGGTTGAAGTAAAAGTGTAATACAGATGAGGAGAGGGAAGTTACTCTTGAAAGGTCTGTCTGAGTTGGGACACAAACTCGTGAGATATTGGCAGTACGGGACCAAGAAATTCTTCTTCCCAGAAGTTGTCATGTTCCATCTGTCCTATGAGGAAAAGCCAGGACACAGGAACCCAGGAATATATCCTTTCCTATCTGTGGGCCTTTCAGACTAGATGTAAAGGAGAGTTATCAAGTACAGGTAATTTCATTGTATCAGAATTACCAATAGAAAATATAAAATCTCAACAATATTTATAGCTAGAACCTATAAATAATTCTCATATCTTATGTGAAGCCTTTCCTGTTCCTGCTCCCTAGAGCTGCTAGTTCACCCTCTCTTCCACTACAATTACTCAATATTTATTTTGCATTTATTCTGAATACACATATATGTGGACATGATGTCTCCTTTGATAGAACATAAATTCCATGAGATCAGGCAATATTTAACTTTTTGTCTTTGTATCCCCTGTGTCAAGTACAGTGTCTAACACTTCATGTTCACTCATGTTTGCCTCTTCATGACCCCATTTGGGTTTTTTTTTGGCAAAGATAGTGGAGCAGTTTGCCATTTTATTCTCCAGCACATTTTATAGATGAGGAACTGAGGCAAACAGGATTAAGTGACTTGACCAGGGTCACATAGCTAGTAAGTATGAGGCCAGATTTGAGTCTGGCCTGAATCTTCCTGACTCCAGGCCCAGGGCTCCATCCATTGAGCCACCTAGCACTTAGTAGGTACTTAATAAATGTTTCTTGATTGGTTGAATTCATCAAAATAGACTTGCATTTAAAGTTAAAAGCCAGAGAAGGAGAGAGGAGGAGTTACTTCGGAAGGAATGTTAACTCTCAGAGTACACACACCCATTTAAGAAATTCTCTTTTCTCATGTATTACATGACACTCAAGCTGATGCAAGTACACATTCATGCACACAAACACATGCAAAAAACATATGCACTGGGCAGGTAAGTCAGGGTTGGAAAGACCAGAGTTCAGAAATGATAGGGTATTTAAGGTAAGTTAGCTTCTGCTCTAGGTCTTAATAATTTGTTCAGATGATTTAACCAGATCACTGAAGTAGAACATCTAGACACTAGAGGACAGTGTGCAAAAGACCACAATTTGAATGTTGGTTTTGAGCAAAAACCATTTGCCACAGCAAGGATTTGTCATATAGGGCATAGGCAGGGGTGGTAAGTGGTTAACGACCTGCTCTATGGAAAATAAAAGTGTATGCATGACACATGACACATGACAAGTTTGATCTGCATAATTAACATGTTCTCTATCATTTAAGTCTAGACAATCAACAAAATAATAAATCAAGCCCTGATCAGCATTTGCTGATTTCTGAGGTAAATGCTCACATTGAAAATTTAAAATCAGCTCCTGGTTGGAGCTGGCTCCAGCATACCCCCGACTAATAGGTCATATTTAGAGGAAGAAAGAACTTTAAAGACCAGTTAGACTTATCCTATCATTTTTCAGATGAGTAAACTGAGGCCCTGAGAAGCTAAGTTTCTAATCCAAGATCAGAGTTAACTATTAGGGCCAAGATTTGAACCTAGGTTTATTCCAACTCCAAATCCGAGACTACACGCACCATAACAGTACTTCAGATCTCTTTCATTATATACTTATTATCCTCAAATACTTACTAGCCCTGTGACCCTGGGCAAGTTTTTTAAATTTCTCCTTGCTTCAGTCTCCTCATTTGTAAAATGAGGATAAGAACATCACCTACTAAGCAGGGTTGTTGTGAGGATCACATGTGATAATCTATGTAAAGTGCTTTGCAGACCTGAAAATCTTATATTAAAGATAGCTTTTTGATGTTATTGTTACTACTTTTCTCTTTTTTTAACATTTGTGGCCCTGCTTCCAAATCAGACCTCTCTCCACAGACTAATTTACCTCCTGACCTCAGCAAATAGTTACTGATTTGACTGGATTTGAGTCTTCCAAAATCCGTATAAAACCCAATCATGGCTAAAGCTCAGATTAAGGATACTCAGACAAATAGTCCAGTGTCTTTCTATCCTTAATGAGAAGGAATTTCAGAGATCATCTCTGTCAACCTTGACTAACAGAAATGTCCTCTACCACATACGTAAGAGGTCATCTAGCCTTCACTTGAAACCTTCTAGTGATTTGGAGCTCATAAAGTAGCCTACTACATTTTTATGTCATTCAGGTTGTTATGAAATTTTTCTTATATAAAAATCTGTCTTTCTACAAACTTTGGCTCATTTTACTTAGTTCGGCCTTCCGGGGCCAACCAAAGAGTGTCTAATAGTTCATCTGCATGATTGGCCTTCAAATAGTTTCAAATGTCTACAGTTAGAAAAGACTTGAGAGATCATCTAGCACAATATTTTTTTTTTATTTTACAGATGAGGAAACTGAGGCCCAGAGAGGTAGAATGATTCCCTTGAGGTCACATGAGTCATTAGTGACTGAGTTAGAATTCAAATCAGGTCTTCTGACTCCAAATCTAATATTTCCCCCCAAAAATATCCTTTTCTTTTCTCCAGCCTAAACATCCCTAATTATTTCAACTGATCCTTGTACCTCATTGATCCCAGTCTTCTGGTGAGCTGTAAGGAGGGAACAAAGCCCCAAAAGACCATCATAGAGCCCTAAGGGCTTTTATCCATTATTTCCTTAGTTTCATGGTGGACCTGAAGAGTTTGCAGATTGGTTGTATGAGTAAGAAACTCAGGTCTTTTTTTTTTTTTTCATTCATTATTCCACGGCCAGTCACTGTAACAGCTCAAAACCTAGGACTAGGCTTTGTTGTTGTTGATGTATAACATTTAGATAGCACTTACTAAATGCCAGGCTCTGGGCTAAGTGCTTTACAATTATTATGCCATTTGACAAGAAATAAAAAGAATAAGAGGTGGCATAATGAGATAGAGGATTGACCTTGGAGCCAGAAAGACCAGAGTTCAAATTCTGACTCTGTCAGGCAGTAGTTATTTGACACCAGGTATGTTGTTTAAAATCTCAGTACCCTAGGAAGCTTACACTCTAAGTTGCAGAACAGGGGTTAATCCACATCAATAGAAAGAATTACCTAATTTGGAATCTCTATTTAAATCACAGGTATGGATTAAAGAAAGAAAGAAACCAGAAGAATAAGTGCAGGTAGGCCAAGCAATTCTTGATAAATACCAATAGGTCAATACAACAATTTTGGTTTGAAAACTTCAGTGGCATATTTTCATTTTCTCCCCCTTAATTTTCTTGATTAATCAGGGAGTTTGTCCCAAACATATTTCTACTTGTTCCTGGACATCATGCAATAATAATACAATTTTTAAAAACCGTCATGCTATTGTGATTATAAAAGTCATTCCTTCAATAAACACTTAGTAAGGACTGACATTATTTTATGCACCATGCCAGACCGTGGCTATACAAAGACAAAACCCCAATAGTTCCTGTCCTCCAGGTGCTTACATTCTCCGGTTTGGGAATTAACACATCTGGAGAATAAATACAAAGTAATTTTCAGTGCAATAATAGCCTTATGTAAAAAGAGATGGCATCTGAGCTGAGCCTTTACAGCTAGGCATGAGGGACAACCTGGGTAAAGGCACAAATACAGGAGATGAGATGCCTTATATGGGGAAAAGCAAAGCATTTTAAGGCTTGTGAGAGTTTCTCTGAATATTTTCCCTATCACTAAATGACATATGGGCTTTTAGCTGGCCACATAATATTTTTAACTAAAGAGAAGTTGGGCCTTACCTTCTTTCAGTCTTTCTTTGAGCCAGTGGTATGCGTTAGAGACACCTGTCTGTTGTTTGGTTTGGCAAAGCATAACTTTTCATGCAAGAATGTAAATGCAAAAGAGACAGCTCGAAAATCTCCTGAACCAATGGGCAGAGAAAGGATGAATTTGTGGTTTGCTGCCCTGAATTCACATCTTCAGCAAATGAGTGAAAAGGTAACTTTGTTCCGACAAGCTTATAGTTTTTTTTTTCCCCTTCTGATCAACACAAGACTGACAGAGAGATCCCAGGAGAGGCAGATAAGAACATTAATTGCACCAGACTAGCGTTCGCAGCATAAAGAAAACTAAACTGGTTGATCCCTAGGGACCTAGTATTTTTCAAGGATGGAGTTTCCAAGTCCAACCTTTAGGCCTTTGACAAACTTCAGTCAAAATGTAGTACAAAGCTTCAGGGCTGGGGGCTGGGAGATAGACATGATGTGCATTATTAGAGCATAGGAATATTTATGATATATTTTATTCTTTTTCAATTAATGATCATTTCTCCCCTCCCATTTCCTCCTAATCTGAAAAAAAGAAAAATGAAATCCTTGTAATAATTATAAGCAGTGAAGCAAAACAAATACTATAGTAACATTTTGAGTTGTTGTATGATACTGATGACAGTAATATTCGTAAAAGGACCACATCACTTAGTATAAATGATTACCTTTGAATATTTTATAATATTTTCTTTTGGCAGTTGGCATGACTGGCCAATACTTTTCATAAACTCTGCTTTCTGGTTTTGATCTTTGAATGTACGAATGTTGATTGACTGTAAGAGCTAGCTGCAGAGCCCTAAGAAAGGACAACTGGTGTTTTGTCCTGGGTTAGGAAATTTAGAGGGTGTCGATTTCATCATTAGGCTCAACCTTAAAGTGGTGATAGTCATCCCAGAAGATCTTTGCTCTCCCACTTATCCCTTCCTCAGGGGTGGCAGATTTGTCCTGGCCTATCCTTCCTTCCTCTTGCGGTATAGAAACCTCTTAGTTTCCTGGGAAAATGAAGTTCATCCCAAATGAGCTTCTCTTCCCTAGACTTGTCCCAAGCACAAAAATCGCCAGGTTACAATTATTTAGCTGTATTAACAATTAAGTATATTTTGGTTGGGTGGTAGGGGTAGGAGGAGAGTCTGGACCCTTGATTTCATTGGTGAGGAGCTCTACAAGTTGAATATTCCTTCCACCAAATCACAGCTTCTCTGTAACATACGTTCTTGGAGTATTGGGTGGGAGTCTAAGAGGTTAAGCAATTTCCCTCTGGTTATATGACTAGTACGTGTCAGAGTAGAACTTGAATATAAGTGTTTTCAATACCATAGCTAATTCTCTGTCCACTAGGTCCTGTCATCTCTCAATTACATTCATATAAGCTATATAAAACAATCAGGTTATGTTTATAATTACTCATTATTTCCTGACCCATACTTTCCCTTGCTTGCCTTAGCAACTACTCTTCCTAAAATTTCCAGGACAGATACCATATCCAGAGAAGAAAGTATACTTTTAATGAGACACTGGGCATATCGGGTACTTCATATACCATTGTTTATAGGATCATAGAAACATAGATTTAGAACTCGAAGGGATCTTAGAGGCCAGTTAGTCCATTCTCCCCATTTTACAGAAGAAGAAACCAAGATTCGGTTTGAACTCAGTCCTCTGAATCTAAATCCAGTTCTCTTTCTGCTATTTCAAGAATAACTAGATGACTTTATGACTGGAGGCTTCAGAAATCTGCCACCCAGCATCTTTGATTGACGATCTAAGCACACCCAGAAGGCAAGTACCAATGAAGGTCCAGTATAAAGAGTTATTTGCTTCTTTTTCCTTCCTCTTTTGGAAATATCAAGAAAGTATTTAAAATCATCTTAATCTAAAGCCTTCCTACTAATCTTAAATAAAAAGCATATTTGTCTCTTTAACTATCTATTCCAAAACACCAGCCTGATCTCATCTCTCTGATAAGCATAAGAAGGCCTCTTATAATTACAGCAGGGATTAGACAAGGATAAGGGCACTTTATTTAATCCACATAAGAGTAGTAACCTCTTTCTTCATGCCCTGAAGGATTAGAGTAATCTCCAACTAAGACCGGGGTTCTTTACCTAGTGTCCACAGATCTCCAACAGGTCCATAGGTAGAATACAGAGGATCTGTGACTGTGGAGGAGAAAATGTTATTTTCACTAACCTCCAACTGAAAATTGGCATTTCCTCCAATAATGATTAAAAAAAAAAAAGAAAATATTTTTCTGAGGTGTCTTTGGCTTCATCAGCCTGTCAAAGGAATCTACACTCATACTTTGCCATGGTCCTATGGTAATTCTGTAATTTTTTTTAAACCTGACCCATGGTCCTATGGTAATTCTGTAATTTTTTTTTAAACCTGACCCAAAAGTTTAATAATAATAGACAGGAGTGTGCTGGAACAAGCCCACAGAAGAACCAACTGCGAAATTTTCAATGTGAGCATTTATACCTGGGAAATCAGCAAATGCTACAGAATAGGACTTGATGTATTATTTTGTTGATTATCCAGACTTAAAGTGATGGAGAAAATGTTAATCAAGAAAGTTAAACTTTAAGTGTGTAAAATTTTTAGAGAGCTGGTTGTTAAACCTTGACCAGCACACCACTGGGTATGTTGTAATGGGAATCCTTTTTCTATTGTGGTTGAACTAGATTTCACCTTAGGTTCTTTCCAACAATCTTAAGAACCTCCTGCCTAAGGGAAGGAAGAAGTCTTTTTAATTACTTTGGTTAATGATAGTATTGACTAGTTAGAGAGTGGAATCTTTGAAGGGAAGGATCAAAGAGGGATTTAATGATTTTAGGAATTAGATGGAAAATAAAACAAACAAAAAAAGACAATAATTCTTCAAGGGTGACTACTAGATGAAAAGAAAATAGTTAGCTGAACTTTTACCGTGAGCTCTGTTAAGATGTTTTATAATATTGCCAAATTTTGTCTGTTTTCCAGGAATGCTATAATTGGAACTATGAATTTGCATGGGAAAAAGAGAGATTTCAGAGTTACCTGGTGGCTCTGCCCATCTTTGGTTTTATCTCTAAACAGAAATGCTTAGATTAGAATAATCTAAAATGAATAAAAAAGCATTTCTAGCAGACCTGTGTCTACTGAATTGTTATATATAGGATGCCTTGTGCCTATTAGGTTTAATTTTTTTTTTTTTTAGAAAATCACAAGATCAAAGTGGTAAAAGTATCTTCTAGGTTATCTGTTTACTGACCAGTCCCCTCATCTGCACATACTTTGGTAATGTCAGTGGATCCTAAGACAGACAGATATATTAGTTTCTGGCCTGAATTTGTGTTTCCTTTGGTCTGGGTTTTTTTTTTTTTTTGGCTTCCATTTTTTACTTTGCAGTGATAGTATAGATGTAATTGAAATTGTATTCATCTTTTGTTCTGATGTCAGAAATAGGGACCTTGAAATCTCATGTGCCAAAAATAGGGTAAATATTTTTCATAGTATTCAGAGAGGTTATACAAATGTGGTTCGGTCTCATGGTACTAAAAATGGAAGAGAAAAACCAAGTATATTATTCATTTAAGAAGTAGATCCAGTATCTTCAATATGGTTTTAAAAGTTCCATTCGGCTTGATATCCATTGAATACAGAATATTAGTTTATCAGGTATTCTTCATTTTCAGGCATATGAGAAAGCACATAAAACTTGAGTTTCCTTTCCTAACTGAGAATTAGGGGTGGAAGGAGGAAATATGAAAGTAGTGCTCTTATGGCAGATGTTTGCTAGGAGGAATTAATAGCTGCAGTCAACCTTTAATCAACAAGCATTTATTAAATACCTACTGTGTTCTAGACAGTTCTTGCCTTCAAGGATTTTACAGCTCCTGGAATACCATGTCAGTGTCATTTCTGAAGGTTAAACTAAAAACTTGCTTTTCTGAGAGTTGAATTATAGTAAGTGTTGATGTTACATTGGTAAAGGGAACTTCCTTGAAAGGAAGCCAATAAGCCAATAAACTCTCAAGTCAGATGTAAAAAAGAAATTACAATAAGGCCATGGAGAAGGAATCACTAGGGATAGCTGAAGGTTATCTAAATGATGGAAAGAACCTAAGGTGGCATCTAGTTCAATCACAATCAGAAAAAGGATCCCCATTACAATATACCCAGTGGTGTGCTGGTCAAGGTTTAACAACCAGCTCTCTAAAAATTTTACACACTTTTAAGTTTAACTTTTGTGATTTTCTCCATCACTTTAAGTCTGGACAATCAACAAAATAATACCCCAAGTCCTATTCTGTAGCATTTGCTGATTTCCCAAGTATAAATGCTCACACTGAAAATTTCGCAGTTGGTTCCTCTATGGGCTTCTTCCAGCACACTCCTATCTATTATTATTGAACTTTCGGGTCAGGTTTTAAAAAAATTACAGAAGGGGCAGCTAGGTGGCGCAGTGGAGAGAGCACCGGCCCTGAAGTTAGGAGGACCTGAGTTCAAATCCAGCCTCAGACAAAACACTTGAGGCTTACTAGCTTTGTGACCTTGGGCAAGTCACTTAACCCCAACTGCCAATAAATAAACAAACAAACAAACAAATAAATAAACGGAAAGAAAATTTAAAAATTACAGAATTACCATAGTACCATGGCAAAGGAGTCACTAGAGATAGCTAAGGGTGACTGTACAGTTGGAAAAGACCTACAAGGACAATCTAGAAAGACCAGAAAAGGGATTCTGGTTACAACGTATCTGGCTAATGGTCACCAGCCTCTGCTTGAAGACCTCACCTCCAACGAAGGGGAATCCATGACCCTCCTGAAAGAGCCTATTCCCTTTTGAAGAGCTCGAGTCAATAAGAAGGGCAGCTAGGTGGCACAGTGGAGGGAAAGTTGAGCTTGGAGTTAGGAAGACCTAGGTTCAAATCTGGCCTCACACATTTGATAACTATGAGATCCTAGCCAAGTTGCTTAACTCTGCCTCAGTTTCCTCACTGTAAAATGACTCAAGAAGAAAATAGCAAAATACTCTAGTATCTTTGCCAAGGAAACCCCAAATGGGGTCATGAAGAGTTAGATACAACTGAA